ATGGTAACTTAACACTGTGTTTGTGGTTAATTGCATTTGATTGCACATTTTAAAATGGTTAAAATAGCACATTATTCACAGAACTGTGCAAAATCGATTTCTATTATTTAATTCACCCAGGCTAAGGTGTTTGTTATGGCAGCTGAAGCCCATGAATACATCATCTGACCCAGTGTTTTCCATGAAACGCATCACTTTTTCAATCAAGTTAGCTGGAAGCTCCTGTCCCCAGAAGAACTGCAGGTACCAAACCAAGAGCTCCAGCAGGGGTTCAACGAGCACAGGTCCCACAGGGCAGCCTCCATGTCAGGCCCTGGATGGCATGTGAGGCTACAATGATACAACCACAATGTGAAAGTGTAAGTGTTTTTACTACTTGGAGACACTGGGGAGCACTCAGCACATCTGGAGACCACAGATACAGAGGTCAGCGAGCCCAGGCAGGGAGGAGGGAAGAGAACGGTAAGCCAATGTGTTTAGTAAGTCCAGGTGTTATCTGACAGGTTTCCAGCAGGGAGTTTTAACAGATGGGTTTAAAGCAAGTAGCAAACACTGGGACCAGGAGATCACGCTGTGATTGAGAAGTGGTCACTTTAAATGTAAGGGAAAATGTCAGAATATCAGTTTAAAGAAATCAGATGGAGAGAGAGGAGCCCAGTACACCAAGCAGGAGAGATGCCTCTTAGATTTTATCGCTGGCCACCAACTGCAGTCACTTGAACCAGATACAGTATTGAAAACTGCCATGGTGAGCAAGGCCTGCCTCTGATGTGAGGCAAATAAATTTACAGCTTAAAAAATGAATGCCAAGGCAACATGACACTATAAGCACTCATGACATCCAGGGACACCAGTAGGTTGTGGTACTTCGCCCTGGAGTCAGAATCCTGGGTTCTGGTCCCTGGGAGTGAGAAAATGAAAATGACTTGTCCCTGCTCCCCTTTCATTGATCCTCCCGCCCTGCTGCTCCGTCTTCTGCTCCCAAGCCCATGTGCAGTGCTCAGCCCCAGACATCACTGTCCCCAGGGTATACACAGTGCCGCCTACTGCACACA